AAAGCTTTTACGTTCAACGTCCGACAAAGAATCGACATCCGAGAGTCAAGAAATCAGAATTTTATTTCTATTATATTCCATTTTCACCCTCTAATTTGGGAATTTCCTTGTTGAAAAATTAGGGTGAGATATTGTAATGAAAGGATGTTCCTCTCTAATTAGAGAAGGAGGTGGCGTCGTTTGGCGGCTTTTCAAAATTTTGTCAATGCCCACTAATTTAAGATGATGAATCGCTTTTTTCAAAGGAGGAGAAGTGAGCGGTAATTATGCTCATTATTCCAAATTAGTGAAAACTTTGTCGACTTTGTCAAATTTTCCGTTGATTTTCCCAATCGACTTTTGTTTGGTGATGAAAAAATAGCACTGTCGGAATTGGAGATTAAGAGTTCGCACTTAGAAAACAATACGTTTGGTTTTAGTCAAACATAATTATCTTTGACATATAACTAACAATTATTTTTGAATAAAACCTAATAAGTTTGATTCTACACATAAGTTTGAAATATAATACAAATTAGTTTTAATTCAGTCATTAAATCTGTTTAATTCAAACATATTTTTTTGTTTGAGTATTTAGGGATTAAAAAATCTGTTTTCTCATTACAGTGTTGTAGATGTTTAGGAAAAATTTTGAAAAAGTTAAAGATGAATCAAAATTGTAATGAATTTTAAATGAAATAAATTTTATATGAACTGATAATTTATTTCATTTAAAAACATTCACTCACTTAAGTCACTTAACTGACTTAAATATAAGTATTTCGATACAAGTAAATATATTTATTTCAATCATAAAATTTTTTTAGCGTAAAATAAATAAATAATAAATAATGAATAAATAAAAAATTGAATCAATAGTAAAATAATAAAATATAAATAATAATAAAAATTTAGTTTATTACACCTCAGAACCAAATGCTATAGGTTATTTATTTTTTGAAATAAAAATTTTATTCGACATAAATAAAACATATATTTGAGTCAAATAAAATTTTATTTAAACCAAATAAAAATTATTCGAAACAAATAAAAATAAAAAAAAATTTTGTCGAAGATGAAAATTTTTGTGCATAATATGATTAATAATATAATAAAGAATATTTATTATTATTAATAATAATAAAATCATTAACATTTTCTCCATTATTAATATGTTTTTAACTAAAATACTAATTTTAGTCATATTACTTAGAATATTTATTATTTTTATTAATGATAAAATAATAAAATTTATATGACAATAATAATTGATGATAATAAATAACGAAATATTTTGAAATGAATTGCCTTTGATGGTGCAAACTTTGCACTTTTTTAAAAATCGCACATAAATTTTTTATTTTTATATGAAATAAATTGTTTAAAACTTTCCAAAAAACTTCTCCAAATATTGATTTAATAACTTTCTCGCTGGAAATTCTTTCAAATAAAAAATTCTCTCGATACTTTTTGTCATTAAAGGTAAGAAAGTGTAATAAATTACATGTCACCATTTATTATAAAAAAAAGTATTAAACAATTAAAATTTTTTGGATTTGTATGACTTAGTCAAAAAATGCACTTAGTGAATTTTGAGAAAAAAAAACTATTTTCTTCAAACTAGCGTTTTAAAAAAAATCAAAATTTTTAGATTCTAATTTTTTATTTTATTTTTTATATATTACTAACTGCTTTCTCAGCGTTCAGTCGAGCGAAGATTAAGTTATTTCATTGACCTTCTCAACTGTATCTGTAACTCTTGATATTTTTTTAAAAATTATTAAAGTGAAATATTAAAAATAATTTATTTTTCAAAAATTGTAGTAAATAAATTCTAAAAACTAGATTTTTAAAAATATTTTCTACTAATTTTTGAAGGAGAATAAATTTATTCATTCTTTGTTTACTAGAAAAATGTCCAAATAATTTAAATTTAGTAAAAACTTTTGAAAGTAACTGAAAATTTTAAAAACTAATCAATTTATTAAAGAAATTTGATTAAAAACTTTTTTTATATTTGAGTACAATGTCTTGAAGATAATTTTAATTTTCACATTTTCATTTGAAAATTTTTTATACTGGATATTGGAGTAATAATTTTACACTATTAAATTTATTGTCTTTTACTAAAAATTAGTAAAAATCTTTACTGGTTAATTGTCAAACGAATCCGTCTTTTTTAATTAATAATAACTACTTAGTAGTAACTAGAACATTAATTACCACTAATTCAATTATGTAGAGAGTAGGAAAAATTTCTTTCTTTAGGAAAAATTGATTGTCTTCTAAGTATCTTTTATTTTTTTTTTATAAAAGATAAAAATAATAAAGAAATATATATAAAAGTCTTTTATATAAAAAAATATTCCGTCCAAGAAAAAAGAAATCTTTATTTCGAATCTAAAAATTTATGTCTATAATTACCTGCTCCCCAGAATAGAGGAAAGAATAAACCAATCAACTAACCGCAAATCCCTTAAAACTGGTTTCTAAATAATGAGATTTGCTGATGGAAATTATATTCTATACAAGGTGATCTGAAAATCGTATTCAAAATTGTAGAATTAGATTCAGAAAAAAATTCTAAGACAGCACTTTTTCTTTTTTTTATGAAATTCTAAATAGTTTTAAAATAAATTCAAATTAAATGGATTGAAAAGTCACGATAAATGTAAAGCATTTGAACACCATTTTTGTTATGCGGCAAACTTCTCTATAAAAAAAGTAAACAGAAGGAGTGGCTGTCTTTTCTTCTGCCGTGCAAAACTTAAGTGACATTTTAAACTTGTGTTTACGTTACATTATTTTATTATAATTATTACAATTATTCCCGTGCACCCTGCCACGCGGAGCAGTACATTACGGGTTTGTTATATAATAATAATAAAAATTACATTTATCAATAATGTAAACAATAAACTATGAAGTTTATCAAAATAAAAGAATAATTGCATCTTGCATAATATTCTGATTATATTTATAGAGGCAGTTCAAACAGACAAAAATAAAAATCAATATGTTTTGTCTTGTCCAGTGGGTTTCTAAAAAATCTATAAGTGTTGTTGGAAAGGAGCAAATTGTAAAAAAGAATCAAAATTTGGCGACTGTGGTTTGGTACGGGAAAACGTATAAAGCAAAAATAATTGCTTCTAACGGTTTGTGATAAATATTTTTTCAATATTTTCTTTAATTTTTAAATTAATTATCTAAAAATATTATATGATAATCAATGAAATAATTTTCCTCACAAAATTTAAAACACAAAAAAACCTTTTATTATAAAATGTTTTGTTTAAAGTATTTAGAAATTTTTAATGTCTTTTGACATTTTCCACGACTATTTTTGTAGATATTTGCGAATTTCTACATTACCAACAAAAAAAAATTGTATTTTAAAATTCTACTTTTTTTCTAGAATCTTTAAAAATTTTCCCATATTTTTTAGGTTATTTATCATTCTTGGTTTCTGTATTAGAACCTTAAAAAGTCAGTAAAATTATCAACTTAAAAAAAAATGCATAAACAAAATTTTTCTTTTTAAGCTCTTTATCACTCGGAATTGAATTTAAATAAATTAATTTCTTCTCACGATGAGTAGTATTTTCAATACGTTTGCAATTATATATTTTTCTTTTTATTTTACAAAATCTTCGTTTTGTAGTTCAGTCTCGCTGAAATCGCTTAATATAAATTAAGCGATTTCAGCAAAACTCGTCTAAGTCATTTTCGTCCTGTCCAGACCCGTCTGTCTTCTATGAAACTCGTGGACCTATAAATATTCCACAATGGTAGAGGCGACACTGTTTTGGGGGGCCCAAAAATGCATTGAAATATAACAGTTTACACAAGAGAAAATAATTAAATAATTAAAAAATAATATTACATTTAAATAATTAATTTTTAATAAGATGTAGTCAATTTAAAAAATGCAGTGCATTTATATTACTTTTTCAGAAAACATGGAGACTTTCTTCGCTTCGAATATCAATAAAATCGTAAAACCGAGAATTGACTTATAAATTAATAAAATAAAATGAAAAAAATTGTAGACGTAACAGAAGGAAAACGAATCTTGTCAGAAAAAATCGAAATGTGTAAAAGAAGACAATTATTGAAGAAGGAGAGAAAGAAGAAGTTAATAATAAGATTATATAGTTTTTAAATTTTATTTTTGAAATAAATTGAATATATTTTGGAAAATTTAATGAATAAAAAATAATAAAATAAAGATGAATACATAAAAAAATACAAATAAGATTTTTAACAGTTAAGAACAACATTTAACTCTCGCTGATTGAATGGCTTAAAGCCTCGTGGGTTTTATGTGTAAAAAGTGATACTTTATTTGCCTAAAACAGGTGTAAAAATGAAAAACTTTTTTCTTGTCCAAAGAGTAAAACAATATATATATAGAGGATGACGCTGACTCTGACGTTAACGATGAGATTGTCGCTGTTGCTGAACGATTTTGAAATTTTTGCATCAGAATTTATTCTCCAATTTTTTTCTTCTTTACCAGAAGGTATTAAGTCACTGTTGCTGCTCTGCAATTTTATTACGACAGATTTCATTTTGTTTTCCTTAATTTTCTTATAGAATTTTAACTTTTTTCTATTTTATTTTGTTTTCCTTAATTTTCTTATAGAATTTTAATTTTTTTATATTTATGACACAAGAATTGTGACGTGCAATAATAAAATATTAATATAATAAAATAGCAAGCTTTCAAAATAAAAATTTTTAGTGTTTATAAACTTTATAACTGTATTATAAAGATTTTAAAAAAATATATTTTTAATGAAAAAGTCACTTTTAAAGATATAAAGAAAAGATTAATTTAAAAAATTTCTGACTATAAGGAATGGAAAGTTCTAGAAGAAAGAAGAGAACGAAATTGAATTGACTCGACATTAACAGAAGGAAGAAAACTAAAAAAAGACAAAGTTGGAATTTAATTATTAAAGGAAAATAAAATTTTATTTTTAAATAAACGTTCATTTTATTTTTAAATAAATTTAAATCATTTTGAAAATTTTAAAGTTATAATTAATGTAAAAGTAATTAAATTTTTTTGCCCTCCACACTGGCTTGCTTTAAAACTTCAAGGGTTTCCAGTGAAACTAATAAAATATTTGACAGGGTTGAAGAAATTTCTTTTAAAACTGCCAAATTTTCCTCATGCATTGCCCTCAATTCTGCAGTCATATCTCGATTTTGGTACTGAAATAAATATAAAAATACAGTTATATTTTAATTTTATTTTTTAATTTATTTTATCTAAACTTAAATTACTGAAAAGAATTTTAATGAAATTAAAGGAAGAGTCGACTTTTGTCTTAGGAAATATGATTTAAGAAATAATGATTAAGAGGGAGTTAGTATCAGAATTTGAACCTGTTTTTCGAGGTACTACTGCACTTTAGAATTTAAGAAAAAACAATTTTTCTTTTATTGTTTTTTAACTCCTTAAGGCTTAAAAAAACACTTCCTAAAGTGCTCATAACCAATTGTCAATAATAAAAATAAAGTTTTTAAAAAGTATATTTATATATACTGAAAAGGAAGATGGTCTTGACGTTTCTGGTGACGTTGACGACTGCGTTGATAACTTTTTCAGCTTGTCGAGGAGAACACTTCCACCACTCTTCGGTAGTAGTTTTCGAGCAGGTTGCTGGCCACTGATGATAGTCTAGGATTAATAATTTTCAATTTAATATAATAATTAAACTTGACATATATTTTCAATACAACAATTTAAAACATAATCATATAAAATTTCAATTACTAAAAAATTGTTAAATAAAAAATCCTTTTTTTCTGCAATTTTTTTTAATTGCCCTTAACTATAAAACAAAATTTCCAACATTTTTTGGGAATCAAAATTTTTTATTTTTATCTTAATTAATAATTTGCTAAAAAAATAATTTTTTATTTTTAAACTCGACTTTATTTAAAAATAAAGCTTATAGGAATATTTTGTTTTGTAGTTAGTTTGGAAAAATCTATTTAAAAAATTAAAAATTTATATTTAATTAAACTATGCCTAACCTTTACTTGTTTTGATGGTGGTGATTCAAATGAATCAGATTCATCTCCTGATGACATGGAGCAAAGTAGCCCTTTTAATTAACGGTGATTTCCGCTCTCTTTTTATGACAATCTGTAAGAAAAAGAACAATTAAACTACAAATTCCATTAATTAGGGAATTTTTATTTAAAAAAGTGTTAAGGTAGATAATATTTTGAAAATATGTGCTAAAATTTAAAAAATTTAATTTTTAAATTAGTAAGAAAGTGGAATTTTAATTGTAATGAACTATTTAATGTTTAACTTATATAATTTTTAAATTATTACCATTCGGAATGATTAAATTTCTAAAAAGTATGGTGTTAATTTAGATGAGTTGTATTATGAAGTAAATTAAAAATTTTAAGTATTTACTCACACTTGTTGAATTATTTGCGCTATCCTTTTTTTCGCTTTATATTAATGGCAACAATCTTTCCTCTAAATCGTTTAGCGGAGTTCCTTTTGTGCTTTTATTTATATTTGCTTTGTTCAGGGGTACCAATTTTTTTCCAGTAATTTGATATCTAAATTTATTTTAGATTATTAAAATTACAAAAATTATTCTTGATAATTTTAGATAATTTGTTTCTTTAAAAAAATTTTTAAATCCATAGAATTGATAATATATCCATAAAATCTTCAGTAAAGCTTGTGAAAATTCATCCTAAACAGTCTAACTATGTCATTTATTTTAACCACTCTAGAGAAAGAAAAGGGGAATTTTGTTCTTTTAGGAACATAATTCAAATTTTGTAAAGAATTTTGTTATTTTTAAAGATAATAATTGAATGTTTGAAGTGCATTGCAGAAATAGGTGTCTTTTTAAATATCTAAAAATAAAATGAAAGATGGAAAAATGGTATCTTACACCTTAAATAAAATGTTTTCTAAAGTATCTTATAGAAATCTAAGATGCTTTATATATTTTAACAGTGATAAAAATATTTTTCCCATCTCAGAAATGTAAGTTTCTTCAGCTAGTTAATTAAAATATCTTAAATTAAGATATTTCTGGTGCAATAAGATGTTTAGCGATAAGTTAGTTGTGAATTGTAAGATGAAAAATAAATGTAATTCACTAAAAACTAAGATTCGTGAAGTATTTTACATATAAGTCCAAAGTTAACCTCAAAACTTTTTTCAAAAAAATATGCTAAAAATGCGTAACGAAGATACTTTAAACATCTTAAATTAAGATATTTAAAGAAACAAAAAAAATTTCTACCAAAACATCTTAAATTAGGATACTTCTTTTTGCAGTGTAAGATCTAAAATAGTAGAAATAAAAAAATGTCTTTGATAATTAAATGGCTAAAAATTGACAGGCTCTTGAAGTAAAAGAAGGAGAAAGAAATAAAGACACAGGGAAAAATAGAAAAAAATATAAAACGTGCAATTCTTGTTGACGAAGAAAGGTCTACCTAAATAATAAAATAAGGACAAATTTAAAGAACGGCTCGATACTAAAATTGAGGACGTATTTTTGAGAAGTTTTAAAATAAAAATAAGAACGTATTTAAGGACTAGAACGATAATAAAAGAGGAAGTACTTTAGGACATTGTCGATAATAAAATCAGAAGATATTTGAGGACTAGCTCGATAATAAAATAAGAACTAGCTTTAATATTAAAAACGAGGACGTATTTGAGGAATAGATTGATAATAAAAAAGGCGACGTATTAGAGGACTAGCTTGATAATAAAAATGAGGACGTACTTAAGAACTAGCTTGATAATAAAATTGAGGACGCGTTTTGAGACTAGCTTTTAATAATAAAGGACGAGTACGTATTTGAGGACTAGCTTGATAATAAAAACGAGGACGTAATTGAGGACTAGCTTGTAATAAAAATGAGGATGTATTTGAGGACTAGCTTGATAATAAAAATGAGGACGCGTTATGAGGACTAGCTTGATAAGAAAAGTGAGGACTTATTTGAGGACTAGCTTGATAATAAAATGAGGACGCGTTGTAAGGACTAGCTTGATAATAAAATGAGGACGTATATTGAGGACTAGCATTGATACTAACAATGAGGAAGACGCGTTTAAGGAAAAGAGCTTTACTAATAAAAACGAGTACGTATTTGAGGACTAGCTTGATAATCCAAACGAGAACGTAATTGAGGACTCTGCTTGAATAATAAAAATGAGGACGTATTTGAGGAGTCGGTTGATAATAAAAATGAGGACGCGTTTGAGGAGGACTAGCTTGATAATAAAAATGAGGGACCGTTATTTGAGGGACTAGCTGTGATAATAAAAATGAGGACGTGATTGAGGACTTGTATTTAATAATAAAACGAGACCGTAAATTGAGGACTAGTGCCTGATATAAAAATGAGACGCATTTGAGGACTAGCTTCAATAATAAAAAATGAGGACGTAATTAAGGACTAGCTTTCATACTAGAAAATAGAGGACGCGTTGAGGACTATTTTTAATAATAAAAATGAGGACGTATTTGAAGACTAGCATGATAATAAAAATGAGGACGTATTTGAGGACCTAGCTTGATAATAATATAAGGACGCGTTTGAGGACTAGCTTTAATAATAAAAATGAGGACGTAATTGAGGACTAGCTTGATAATAAAATGAGGACGCGTTTGAGGACTAGCTTGATAATAAAATGAGGACGTATTTAAGGACTAGCTGATCATAAAAATGAGGACGCGTTTGAAGACTAGCTTGATAATAAAATAGAAACGTATTTAAGGACTAGCTGATAATAAATATAAGGCCGCGTTTGAGGACTAGCTTTAATAATATAAATGAGGACGTTAATTGAGGACTAGCACGATAATAAAAATGAGGACGTATTTGAGGACTAGCTTGATAATAAAAGAGGACGCGTTTGAGGACTAGCTTCAATAATAAAAATGAGACGCGTTTAAGGACTAGCTTGATACATAAAATGAGGACGTATTGAGGACTAGCTTGATAAAAAAATGAGGACGCGTTTTGAGGACTAGCTTAATAATAAAAATGAGGACGTGTTTTGAGGACTAGTTTTAATAATAAAAAACGAGGACGTATTGAGGACTATCTTGATATAAAATGAGAACGCGTTTTGAGGGACTATAGCCTTTAATAATAAAAATGAGGACGCGTTTGAGGACTAGCTTGATAATAAAAAATGAGGACGTATTTAAGAACTAGCTTGATAATAAATATAAGGACGAGTTTGAGGACTAGCTGTAATATAAAAATGAGGACGTAATTGAGGACTAGCACGATAATAAAATGAGGACGTATTTGAGACTAGCATTGATAATAAAAATGAGGACGTATTTGAGGACTAGCTTGATCATAAAAAATGAGGACGCGTTTTGAGGACTAGCTTGATAATAAAAATGCAGAACGCGTTTAGGACTAGTTTTAATATAAAAAAGGAAAACGTAATTAAGGACTAGCGTGATAAAAAAAAATGAGGACGTATTTAGGACTAGCTTGATAATAAAAAGGTGAGGACGTGTTTGAGGACTAGTTTATTAATAATAAAACGAGGACGTAATTGAGGATCTAGCTTGGATAATAAAAATGAGGACGCGTTTGAGGACTAGCTTAATAATAAAAATGAGGACGTGTTTGAGGACTAGCTTGATAATAAATATGAGGACGCATTTGAGGACTAGCTTCAATAATAAAAATGAGGACGTAATTAAGGACTAGCTTCATAATAAAAATGAGCGCCGCGTTTGAGACTATTTTAATAATAAAAATGAGGACGTATTTGAAGACTAGCATGATATAAAAATGAGGACGTATGGGACTAGCTTGATATAAATATAACGTACGCGTTTGAGGACTAGCTTTAATAAAACTAAAATGAGGACGTAATTGCGGGACTAGCACGATAATAACAAGAGACGTATTTGAGGACTAGCTTGTATAAAAATGAGGACGTATTTGAGACTAGCTTGATAAAAAATGCGGACGCGTTTAATGACTAGCTTCAATAATAAAAATAGGACGTAATTAAGGACTAGCTTCATAATACAAATTAGGATCGTTTTGAGACTATTTTTAATAATAAAAACGAGGACGTAATTGAGGACTACTTGAGAAAAAAATGAGCCGCGTTTGATGACTAGCTTATAATAAAAATGAGGACGCGTTTGGGTACTAGCTTGAATAATAACAATGAGGACGTATTTAAAAACTAGCTTGATAATACTATGAAGGACGCGTTTGAGGACTGCTTTAAAAATAAACAATGAGACGTAAATTGAGGACTAGCCACATAATAAACTGAGGACGTATTTTGAAGGACACCTGCTAATAAAAATGAGACGGTGTTTGAGACTAGTTTTATAATAAAAACGAGGACGTAATTGAGGACTATCCTTGCTCATAAAAGATGACTTTTTGAGGCCTAGATTTAATAATAAACGAGACGTTATTGAGGCACTAGCCGCTATAAAATGGGACGCTTGAGGACTATGGTTTCAATAATAAAACAGGACGTAATTAGGCTAGCTTCCATATACAATGAGGACGCGTTTGAGACTATTTTAATATAAAAATAGGACTTATTTAAGATCATAGCTAATATAAAATGCGTACGTATTTGAGGACTATTTTAATTAATAAAAAACTAGGACGTAATTAAGGATACCTGAAAATACAATGAGGGACCATTTGAGACTAGCTTCAATAAGAAAAAGAGACGTAATTATGGAGCTTCGTATAAAAAAAAAAAAACTGAGGACGCGTTTGAGGATAGCTTTAATAATAAAAATGAGTACGTGTTTGAGGGACTAGTTTTAATAATAAAAACGAGGACGT